GGATGGTCTACCAGTACCGTTCTTTCCCTCATCTCTTGACCGGCCCGAAAGGAATGGTCCCCAACTTCCTCAGTGCCTCCCACAGCTGCCAATCAATGCTACCCCAACAAAAGTAGCTCAGCAGGTTGTGCTGAATATCTCAGCGCGCAACGTTAATTTGATATTTACATTCACCAGGATCTTGACACGCCAGATAACTGGGTCAATCGTGTAAGGACAGTAAATCAATGATATCTGCGTGATTTTTGATTCCTCTGCGCTCAGAATCCAGAACTCGTACGATTGACGGGAAAACATCCGTTTAACTCTGAAGCGCGACTCAATGTTCTATTTGAGTGTGTAGGTATCTTGTTTCCGATGTTTTGCAAGGGACTGAGGGCGTCTCTACAGGGATTCTTCACTCCGCCTCACTTGCATTTCGTGCGGAATCATGGTGCAGTGCCACAGGTCAACCACGAGATAGCTGCTAACTGGACAATCCACGTACATGGTCTGGTGGAACGAGAGGTTACATTTACTCTGCAAGAGCTTCAAGAAAAGTTTCCCGTTGTTAGCATTCCTGTAACCCTTGTCTGCGCCGGCAACAGGCGGAAAGAACAGAATGTCATCCGCAAGACACTTGGCTTCAGCTGGGGAGCAGCGGGAGGTGAGGTTTCAGTTCGTGTTGATTCAAACAAGTCCTCACCAACATCAATATCAAGTATCAACAGCCCTTTGGACAGGCGTATATCTGGCCGACGTATTGAATCATGTGAGACCAATTTGTAGACAAGCCAAATACGTTGTCTTTGAAGGCGGAGACAAGCTTCCGAACGGGCCCTATGGAACATCACAGCGATTGTCATGGGCTTCCAATAAGGACAAGGGTATGCTCATTGGTAACTCGAATCACTTACAGTGCGACGATTCCTCCTGACCTTCTACATTAGCCTGGGCAATGAATGGTTTACCGTTGGAACCAGACCATGGTTTTCCTGTGCGCATCATTGTGCCGGGTCAGATCGGTGGACGGTCTGTTAAAGTAAGGTGTTTCTCGATGACAAGGAACCCATAATCAATTAGATACCACTTAGTGGCTGAGACGCATCGAAATAAGTAGTCGCGAAAGCCAGCACCACGTATGCCAGTTCTTGTACAACTCAAATAAGCGTCGACTGATGGTTTTGTTCATGCAGTTGCACTTTTGGGTATGCGTAGATCTTTCATCCTCGAGGATGAATCGCACTAATGTTGCATAGGACAACAAAATGTTACCAGCGCAGGTTATGCCTGACCAAGCCCGCGCTGAGAAGCATTGGTGGTATGACCCAAGGTTAGTCTGAGTGCTCCGACGTTCCTTAGCAAGTTACTCACCAGGTCGAGGATATCACAGATATATCATCACGTTGGTTTAATCTTGCTCTCTTATGTACCACATGTTGAACAAGAGTCTTCAGGGAGCTTAACGTCAATAGCGTCATCGCGAAACCGGATCATAATGAAAAACTCTACATCAATAAGACGCCGGATGAGAATGGCACAATCGCATCATATCCCATCCGAGGATATGCGTATGCAGGTGGAGGTCGCAGGGTGACCCGTGTCGAGGTTTCGCTTGACCAAGGGGAGACATGGACATTGGGAAACATGTACGTCCACACGCTTCAGAATCGACACCTCATTGATATCGTGTCAAAAAGTGAGTATCCTGAGGACCGATTCAGAGAAGTGCGTCACCAAGACCCATTTTATGGAACTCTTGACGCATCAGAGCGCGATACGTCCTTGTGAGCAGCAACCATTACCGCTGCAATGAAAAATGTTCAGATCCCATCTAGCTGTTGGTGCTTCTGGACATTTGATGTCTCGCATGACATTCTAGCGAGCTGTGATGCGTTGATGGTTAGAGCTATGGACGAAGGCCTCGCGTTCCAACAAAGAGACATGTAAGGCAGGATCGTCTGTGTGGGTTCATTAACATCAACTGTTTACAGGTATTGGCATGCACTTGGCATGATGAACAACTGGTACGTCTTGATAAAACCTGGTATTCTGCGCCCTGTTGCGAGCTGCTGGCAGGTGGTTTCGCATTGCCGTTCATAGAACCGTCAACGATGACGGGAAAATTGTCTTGCAATTTGAACATCCAACACTCGCTGGGACAGCGCAAGGAGGATGGATGGAGGTGATGCTTAATTTTTGGTCCCAGAAAACAAATGCTGATGATAGCAAATCAGCGCATGAAAGCGGTAGGGGAGGATATTACAAAGCCTGTCTTCGGCGAAAAAGGACAGGATCTCGCACCACGTGCTCCAAAGCACGAATCAGATGAGGTCTGCTTGACCAAGCCTGGCATGAATCGGAAAATTACTCTGGAAGAGTTCAGGGCGCAAGATCGACAGCAACCGTGGTTTGTCGTCAACGGTGAGGTTTACGATGGAACTCCATTTCTAAAGGACCACCCAGGAGGCGGGGACTCTATATTGCTTGTAGCTGGCGAAGATGCGTCCGAAGACTTCTTCGCCATACATTCTGCAGAAGGCAAACAAAAATTGGCTGAGGTAAGTCCTCGTGATTTTGCCGTAGAACGTTGGTTTATAGGCCGTTTTACAGCACCACATTGGTACCCTTGTAACCAGTTTAACCAGAGAAAGGCCCATCACAACGCAGTCCGATGGAACCTTTCTAGAGCGCAGCCGATGGAAAAATATCGAATTGTGTGCCATCAAGCAGATTAACCACGATTCCTACCTGTATCGTTTCGCCTTGCCAAAAGGAGACCAGCCGCTAGGTCTGCCAGCTGGACAACATGTTTTTGTTCGCTTGCGCCGACAGGATACCGGGGAGATGGTACAGAGGGCTTATACCCCGGTATCGCAACAAGACGCAGTAGGCTTCATCGACTTTCTCATCAAGTTCGTATTCTTCATCAGGACATGTTCTTCGCACTGAATTCTTCATTAGATTGTATCTTCCTTCCGCGTCAATCCCCACTGGAGGGAAGATGACCACAGGCTTCCATCAATTACGTATCGGAGATAGCGTGGAGCTCAAGGGGCCGTTAGGGTCCTTCATTTGGGACGGGCCAAGCACTGCATTGTGGCACGGGATAAGGAAGACCATCAAAGAAGTCGGCATGATTTGCGGTGGAAGTGGTATGACTTCGAATGCAACATCGTAAACGTGCAATACTAAATAAAGTTGTGCAGGGATAACACCGATCCTCCAGGTGCTTCGCAGTATCTTCCAAAACGCGGAAAGCGAGACCCGGGTGTGGGTGATCAGTGCGAACAAGACAGAACAGGACATCCTTTGTAGAGAAGAACTTGACACACTCTTCGCATTACATGGCAGGGGGCGTTTTAAGCTGCACTACACGCTTAGTGTCGCTCCTGAGGAGTGGCCGTACAGCGTTGGGCGAATTAATGATGTGTTGCTGTCGGAGCACATGCCTCGCCACTCTGAGCATGGACTCATCCTAGCGTGCGGTCCTGATGCTATGATAACACATGCCGTCAAGCCCGGACTGCAGAATATGGGATGGGATATAGAGAAGTCCCTAGTAGTGTTCTGAAAGGAAAAGGTTGTAACAAGTCGCCTGGACAGTGGATGATAGTAGTATGATAAACCACCTGCAAAGTGTTCGTTTATGAGGCGTGTATGCGAAACAAGAACAATCGTCGGTAAAGATATACAGTAAGAATGGTACTGCTGAGTACTGAAACTCTAGGTACTGAAAGGCTGCAAGTTGAAGGTGCGACAGAACCTGACACCGTTAAGACTTGACAGTACACCTATAGAGCACTAGTGTACAGTACTAGTTGGAGTTGAACGTTCAAGTTTGAAAGTCATATCGTGATAAAAACTGTCAAAGATTGCCATCTGTCGACTGATTTGGCAGTTTTTTCAAGTGGTGAATGTAACTGAGAGAACAGGTAATTATCAACTGCAGGATGGACGGTGAATACAGTAGTTGGCAAAGCGTTGAAAATTACCCAAATAGGCGGTGACACGAAATCACCTGTTCCGCACCGGCCACCACCTCACCACCGGTTTATCAGGTGAATCGCAGAATTCACCAGTTTTCCCAGTGACTCGAACCTGCTTACAGTCTCATAGTGTGAGTGGTTGAGCACTCGCCTTGGAAATCAGACAGGTAAACCATGTTGTTAGTAAGGTGATACTGGACATGCTGCATGAAGCATAAAAACAATCCGATGACTGCTTCTCTGCCCTCTAGACTACAGGCAGGAAAACCTCACACCAGTTCTACAGTTGCGCTCTTCTCATCATGGCAAGGTGCTGAAGCATTGCAAACCAGTCGGCATTTGGCACGGCGGGGCCAGACGACCACCCTTGCAACCACACAGCAATTCCACCTAAAAACATTATGAATATTGTGATGTGTTGCAACTATACAAAATTGTACCCTTCATTGGTCCCGAAGGCCCAAACCCAACTGTGCAGAGAATCGTGAGAAGAGACCCCAGGCCATTGGTAGATAGCATGCTAATCATGATATGCAAGAGGGCCCGTACGAGATTTGGATGCTGCTCATTGATGTCTCCTGTATGATCATTTGATATTCTCTTAAAACTGGTCTTAAACATATGCTTGTGACCATCGGTGTGTCATGATCAAACGACCGTTCATTGACAACCTGACTCAGGTTGTCAATGAACGGTCGTTTGATCATGACACACCGATGGTCACAAGCATATGTTTAAGACCAGTTTTGAGAGAACCTGTGAGACTTTTAAGGAGTTCCTCGCTCACTCTGAGCTCGCCAACAACCTGCAGAAAACACTCCTCAAAATGATCAAGAACTGTGCATCAGGAAAACGACAGGTTCCTTATTTCACCTTATGTTACTTAATTTCTGTTAGGAAGATTTTTCAGCCGACTTGATCATCACTTTTTCTACTTGTGAAAAAGCAGTTCGAGCTTCTAAACAAGTTCATGTGCGAAGTTCAAAAAAGCTGGAAACAAGTGTCATAAGCAAATGCTAGACCGAAAAAAGTCTAAAATGCAATTTCAAAGGAGTGATGATCTGCATATTTGTTAACATAAAAATGGTGGAAAATATCATAGGTCTGATGGTGGTGATGTTGCGCAGGAATAACTCGAGTACCATATACAGGAATAAGGTGTGCGGCGCGGTAGATTGAATCAATATGTATGACGGAAATATGGGGCGTGTTGTTGTTATTATGAGCAGGCTGTACAACCCACATTCCAGTGTCTTCGTTCGGCGAGTCTCCAATGGTATCAAACCACCGCACAACTGCACATGAGTATAATTTTCGCTTGTAAGTAAAAGAAAAAAATGTCAGTACTCGTGCGACATCCATGCCCCTCATACCATCGAGACCTGGATTCGTGTTGACGAAGACACAATCAAACCGAGGATGCTCGTTTCTCCATATCGGACATGCACGAATATACTCACGGCGCATGCCCCCAATACCACTGAGATCACTTGGTGCAAAAAATCTCAAACAAGCAGAGTTGAAAACACTGATTTTGTTGTCGAATTGGGGACAGTAAGCTAGGGGAACCTCTGATGGATCACGGGGATCATTGCGGTTGAGTTGACCGAAGAGAAAGTGTCGCAGAAGATTCGAGAGATGTGGGATTGATAATTCAATTGCTAATGCAGCAATGGTGCAAGCACATTTATATTCTAAATCATATGTTAGTGTAGTTTGAAAGTGACAGGTGCTTAATGACTCACGAGGTGTTTTGGCCAACTCCACGCGTGCTTCGACATTTGTTGGTCCGTCGTCGACTTCGTTATTCTTGTCGTTGTCATTGTCCACTGTGGTATTGACAGCCTGAGTGTTGGCAGCTTCATCTGGTGCCGTGAGATTGAGGGCGCGCAGTCGTTCTATTTGAGTATCAGTGAGAGTACAATAACAATATAGTATTTTACTTACCCACTTCGAGGACAGCTGCAGAAAGGCACATACCATTAAGCATCTTGCGTTGAGTAAAATCAGCGCGTGATGCTGCGAGCTTGTCGAGGCATTGATTTGTGACCAACATTTGGCCCAGTGCCTCGTACCGACTGGAGCGCCTCCATGGCTCCTTCACTGCTTTGATATGCTTAGCTTCGGTGATCGAAGAGCATAAACCATTCGGGGCCCCAAAAAGTCGAATGAGGTGTATGTAGTGTTGAAGGGAATGCTGGCGAGGGAGTGAGAATGTTGAAATAACGTCGAGTGTTTCAAAAATTTGCCGGTGCCGATGAAACCGGTCAAGTGCCTCCTGGATTTGCTCGAGCGTCTTCTCCGTGATTATGCTGCGTCGGACAAGATAACAAAATTCGAGAAAGGCTCGAAATGTCCGGACCATATCCACAGGGACATATCCCTCAATAGCAGATAAGTATACCTATAACAATATGTCAGTAAGATATTAGTAGTCTGATACACAAGAAACATACCTTCATAAGTGCTTTCAAGTCATCACCCGTCCACTGCTTGAAGCCTCGTCCTTGTGGGAAGCGCCGAAGACCAGCAAAGGCCGGAACAGCAGCGATTCTAGACACAACTAGTTCAATAGATAGTACCCATGATGAGATGAATCATTTACCTTCGATCAATATCATCTATGATGCGCTCAGCATCTTTCTTCGAGTGCGTCTGGTATAGGTACTTCTTGATCCAATCAACCAGGTGGTCTTTGAACGTCCCTTTGATAAGCTGGTGAAGGATATCGGGGGCAATGAGTTCATGGATGTCGGCTCAAGCAAAATCATTCGTAAAGGGCTGATATAAAGTGTTAATGCATCATGAAACATAGTGCGAAAGGTAGGGCTTACAACGAGATCACCAACAATGCCATATTCATCCCATAAGGCATCGAGAGTACCCTCCTCGACAAGCACATCTGTATGATGACGATAGCGTCAACCGGCTGGCTCGTCTAGATTGATACGTGAAGACAAACATCTGTACAATCATTAATTTAAGTAGATTAAAGAAATGAACAATTACACACCTTGGGCACCAACCACGCACGATGCACGTCAATAAGACTTGCTCCTCGTAGTCAGCAATATATGGTCCCAGACCATATATCACACGGCGGAAATGTCTGTCACCAAAACGTGCAACTTCATACTTGGTGATACCAGGACGAAGTGTTTCGAGAATCTTGGAGAGTGAACAGTGAAACAATTGCCGGCGAAACTTTCGGAACTTCACATCACTAGTCGCATGTTCCTTTGTTGCTAACTCAGATAAGCAAACAGCACATTTAAGAAAAACCAAGCTTACTTTTGGGAATAGCGAGAAAGGCGATAATACTAACTGCGTCGTGGTGGGCTCATCTAACGTTATTGCAAACATTGCCAATAGATGCATAGAGCGGGTAATATTCGTTGTTTCCCGTTGCAACGGAAACTGTAGTCTTGTCACTGCCTAAAACAACAGGTACGAATGTGGATCCATGTGATTCTGGATCTTCGGAGATTATGTCCTGGCAGCAATTGTTAGATTCAAAGGAGTGATCAAGAAATTGAAAGACTTACAGCCTGATCCCATGCCCAATCACCAGACATAAAGTCCTTCCACTGACGCTCGTCGTCATCAGTTGAGAACTCGCGGTAGGGTCTGTAATCAAACTCTTTGGCATAGTCGGGATTTGCAAGCATGTTGTGGATGACCTCTCGTGGATCACGGTACCAGACGTCAAAGACTTGATCCATCCATGGCGGTGCATCAGTGTCTGGTTTTTCGCCATTGTAGCGAACTGAAAATGACTGCCACTTCACATCCCCAAGCGGTGTTCTGTCGATGGTTTTGTAAAGGTTGCGAAAGTCGGCAAATGGAGGCTTGTCATCATGTTTCTTGAGGGTTGAGGCCCAGAGATCAAGGAGTTTATTGATCTGACCTGCAGGCGTCTGATTCTCGGTAAATAAATACTCTGCTGTTTCAAATTCGACATGATTTCGGTAAGGAGTCCAGTCAGAGGAGGATTTATCAGAGAGTGGTTTAGGTAGGCTTCCAGGGGGGAGAAACATGCCATTATCATCACAAGGGCGGGCTAAAAGAATGTACATTGTTAGAAAATTGATCTAATAACGAAGTGAAGCATTTACCATCAAGGTCCTTGTGAAAGTTCCGATATAAGCAGTCTCCTGGCCCCCAAAACTCAGTGTCAATTCTCGGAGCTGGTGAGTTGTGCATCCCATCATGTCCCGTCAGATTCAACCAATCGTTCTCGACTTCTTGAAAGTCAAACTGCGGCTCATGTGGTTGTGCAGGGGCCGGATAGTAAGGCTCTTCTAGCTCTTCAGAAACACTGGCATGGTAAGAGTTAGGTGGCTTTGTGATTGTAGGATGGGCTGAATTCCAATGTTTGGTTCGTCCTGCTTGAGTTTTGAAATAGCGCTGACAATTGGAGCATCCACAAGGGAGTTGGAGTGCATTATGGTCTGGTTGAGAGTTCTGGTTCCTTTGAAGAATATCAACTGTGTGTAAAAGCATGAAAAAACAGGGCACGTACATAGTTTATGCTTAGCACCAAGAAAATATGGTTTTGGTCCAAAGTAAACCATGCTTCGAGCCTGAGTGCCATGGTCGTAATCAATAACACATTGTCCGTGTTTGGGATAAGGGTAACACACTTAAAAGTTTTCACTGAACCTAGACCATTTCCTGCCGCTCTCTGCTACCTGCAAATTTCTGCCCGTCTCACTTGCAGCTCCTCACCCGCATCTTTCATATCAATATGCCTTCCCAACCTGCTGACACTACCGTAACTCGTCGTACTCGTCCCTCCAATGCAATTGCACATCCTGGTGCGATCCTCTTGCAGGCAAAGAAGACCCAACGTATGGCCGAAGAAGTTGCTGCTGCTCGAGCAGAAAAGGCAGAGCAGGCTGCAGCACGGGCCACAGCTGTTGAAGCAGGAGCTAAGCGCATTGCTGGTATAGAGCTGGAGATGGAAGCCAAACAGACGAGCACGCTGGCAAGGAAGGCTAAGGGAGTTCGGCCTCGTCCAATTCCCGCCAAAGGCAAGAAGGTGGCTGTAAAGGATGGTCTGAGTCAGGCGGATGTCACAGCAGCCTATGGTGAAGGCAATGAGGTCAGAACCAACTTGAATCAAGAGCCAGAGATTCTTACCGGCTCATGTGCAGATGGGTCTCAAGGATGACTCCAAAAAGAAGATTACCAAAGTTTCGATGAAGGATGCTGTCAATCAAGCGCATGAGCAAATCAAACAGACAACTTCTGCTGATGGCGGAGATAAGGATGCACGTGTCCATAAGAAGGGCGACTCAATGGATGTCACAGTGTAGGTTTCCCTGAACCTTCTCATCATGCTCCTGCTCACCGAATCAACAATGTTCTTCCTCAATTTAACTTTGAACCATAGGAACAAGCCTGAGTATACTCTTAGCAGCAAAGTTAAGAGCTGGGTCTCAGACGTCGACATACCCATCAAGAATCAGAATGCACCGCCGAGTCATGTGACTCACACATCGCCTCCTCCTTCAACAGTTTTTTCTCGTCTTACGGGCTCTTCCAAGACAACTCACAGTGAAATCCCGACTGGTATTCTTAACAGTCCTCAATGTTCAGGTGTAGATGAGGATATACCAGGAGGTTTTGCTGATGACGAGGATGAGGACGAGATTGACAAATTGGAACGCCTGGCTGCACATGGAATCACTACCAAGGAAGGGCGGTCAGCTGCAGCAGTAATGTTTTAATTTTTAGCTTTCGAAAAACATCTGACATTATGATTCAAAGACGGTGCTGACTCTCACCATTGATGACTCTGATGATGAGTTGGAGATTCCAGCAGAGTTTCGTGCTCCGTTCACCCAGCCTTTGCCAGTAGGCTTGCCTAAGGCTTCCTTTGCAGTTGGCAACCTCAAAAGGAAGGCCTCTGAAGGGAGTGAAATCGAAGATTTAGATTTTTTGTTGGTTGATGCCTGTGAGTCAACACTGATCGTTGACATTGATGCTATCAGACTCACTGCACCTTTAGTTGACAATACAATGGAAATCGACCTACCAGACAAGAGTGATCTGACGTATGAAGTGAAGCCTGGAAAGCCCCCCCGTACCACAAGCTCGGTGAGAATTTGATAATATAGAGTTGTCCTTTCTGATGCAATTTTTTTATTAGACGTCAGTCGTGACCACAGACACCAAACCTGCTCTCACTAAGAAGGCAAAGGTAGAATCACTTAAGGTTTCAACATCTCTTCATGCTACTCCTGCCAAACCCAAGGAGCAGTCAGTCAATGTTGACACGCCACATGACAACTTGAAGCCTCGAGCGCAATATCGAAACACCGACCTTCCTGAACAAGTCCAAACGGACCACTGTTGGGCTAAAAAATTCCTTCCGACAATGATGTTGTGGGCCGGCAGCCAAGAATCCCTCTGGAGCATCCCAGATGAAACTCTACTGACGCATATCCAAATTACATTTCAGGCAGTCTACCTGGAGCTTAACCTTGTCATTGTTCAGAATGGTGCTGTTTTCTCACTCGTACGCTCTTGTCATGCCAGATGTCTACAACACCTCACTACTTATCTGTTCTGACTCACAGACTGTCCAACGGCTTTCTGAGTGGCGGAGCAACTTCGGCTCTACGGCCATCGCAATCATCTTCGATTTTCTGACGAGCAACAATGACTGTGACCCAGAGGTTCTTGCAGGGCTCCTCTTGAAGAATTTCACCTTCATCTTCAAGGACATGGACAAGTGCGAGCCTGACGGGGTGTTCCACTCTGCATTTATGCTGCAGCTCCTTGGAAAGGCCCACCTTAGCACCATTAATGGCCATGCTACCATTCCCGCGTTGAAAACCAAGGACCTTGCAACAAAAGGGATGGCTGGTGTTATTGCATTTTGTGCTACAGCGGTCTGTTCATTTTCTTGTTAGCAATGCTCCAAGTCCCACTCAAATAATTCACATAGCTTGAGCGTGCCATCACATTGATTTCAGATGGCGATATCAAAGTCGAGGACATCTTAGCATCAACCTCAGCATGCAGCAAGTTGAACATCAAGCTTCCCAAAGTACTCAACAAGGTCACCGGGAAGGTGACAAGTGCTCCATATCTGTTTTCACGCGATCTCTGGGGTAAAGCGAACACTGGGTACATGAAGAGCATCAAGAAGAAGGGCCTGGACTTCGTCGAAACCACAGTAGACATGGCGCGGTCAGCTTTGAACGAAAGTAACGCTGCGGATGCAGGCATCTCTGAGAGCTCTGACGATGACCGTGCCTTCTTATGTATGTACGATGTTATCTTATTCAAGCTGTGCCTCTGTCTTTGTTCGCAAATTTGTTTTTTTTTTATATTTTGCTGATTTGGTGGATTTGGCAGAGCTGTTCTCTGATGGCGTCTGTCCATGGGCCTTCTGATACCATCCTTAACTTGCTCGGTGGACTACTATTATCACCACTCGTTATACATCCCATCCTGTGCTATTTTCTACCAGTACTAGACTACTGGTACTACTTTCCGACTATCGGTTCACATTCATTTTTTTCTGGTTTTATCTTGCTTAATTGCTTTTGTGTCATGCTTTTCTGAATGGACGATGCCTTTTTTCTGATGCAAAAAGTAAACTAAATCAGAAATAAGTGAGAATTCAGACGACGAGTGGCCTTTTTCCACTTCATGGCCACTTATTTTAGCCTTTGCTTATTTCGCCTTATTGAATGTGAAAAAGTGACAATAAGGTGAAATAAGGAACTTGTCGTTTTCCTGATGTGTTCATCATGGTCATGTGCTTCTCATGACCAGAAGCTTCACCAGGTGGTGGAAACTGTTCTTTGAGCTCTTCAAATAGGACACTGAAGGTGTTTACAAGGTTATTTGATATAGTGTAGAGAGGAATGCCACATTGTTCTGCAGCTTCTTTGACGACTTGATACAGTGTCGTGGCTGTGCTGGCGATGCTATCCACAGACTCCCTTAATTCTGCCATCTTGTCAGAGGGACAGAATTCCCTGGCATGCTGGAAGAATTTGTCTGTACACCCCTGGATATTTGACCTGAAACCAGTAGCCTTGTCCCAACAAAACTTTCCAGCATTTGGAAAGTGGGAACCACTGTACAGCATGTGTGCTGAAGCAGGCAACGATCCAAGTTTTTTCGTCAGGCTGCCAACTGTTGTAGTGCCTTGACGAATGATTGGGTGATCAAATTTATCATATAATGCGCCTGCAACTTGCGATGGCTTATTGAAAGTGCTGTCAATCATTTCTGACATCAGTCTAGTAAAAACAGTACTAATTTTGACTGTACTCACACTTTCTCACTACTCCCCATCCTTGTCCTACGTTAAAATGCAATGTTTGTTGTAAGATAAGAGTGCAACAAACCCGGGCCTGTTTCCAAGTCAGTGAGACTTTCGTCAGAGGAATGAATACTTCAACGCCGCCAGAAGTAACTGGTCGTAGCATCAGGAAAAACCTTCCAGCCAAAATTTCGATAATCTTTGATAAAGTCCAATAATTATGTCTAATTAGCAGCTTTAGGAAAATTAGGAAAATTATGTAGTTTAGAAGGACTTTCTTACCCCCTCATAAATTTTGCATAGTTATCAAGAATTAGCTGATACTAGACACAATTATTGTGAATTGCAGAAAATGTATTTCAAACTTTGCATTGCAAATCACCCACAATAGTCAGGCGATGTTACAAGAAAAAACAATTGATATTTGATTACATAGAATATAGACACAAAAGTAATTACTGTATAGCTACAATTGACCGCAGATGTACGGTGACCAGTGACCCCTGGAAGGAGGATCAACACACTGCGAATGGTGGACAACAACGACGGTCAGCATGGCTCGAGCTCAAAGGAGGATCAACACACTCACCCGCTGCGAATGGCAGACAATGAGTTGGATCAACATGGCTCGAGCTCAGAGGAGGTTCAACACACTCACTTCCTGCTAACGGCGGACAATGAGTTGGATCAGCATGGCTCAAGCTCAGAGGAGGTTCGACACACTCACTTCCTGCAAACAGCAGACAATGACTTGGATCAGCGTGGTGGTTGCTCGAACGACGATCGACGCACTCACTTCCTACAAACAGCGGACAACAACTTGGATCAGCGTGGCTCTGGCTGGAACGAGGACCAACACACTCACTTCAAACAGATCCAAGCAAAGTTGATACGAACTTGATACCTAGTTTGTAGTTACAAATGTTAGATAGAACTTTTTAAAAAACCTAAGACATACCTATCAGCTTGATGATTGAGGCTGACAATGTTGAACATTGAGGAATGAGGGATCGACATCGGAAGTTCAAAAACTTTCCAAACCAAAGTCATGCAAGCCAAACAAATACACGCAAATGGTTCAATGTCAACCAAACAGTCATGTGAGCGAAAAAAATATGTGCAAATGATGAACTTCAACGAAATTTGCATTGTTCCTGCTCTCATGAGTCGTCCGTATTCGTCTGAGCCACATCAGCAGTTGCTGACATGCGCTGGGCGTTTGTGCATGGCGTTTGTGGTGTTGGGAATGGCATGGTGGCACTCACCCACATTGGAAGGCTGCCCCTTCCAAATCTAACATACACGTGTCTGAACTCGGTACAGTAGCGCTCCTTCTTTAGAGTCAAAATTTACCACCGCAACCCTCACTTCGATCCAGTGTTCCCTTACTACTCATGCATCTCCCTCCACCTCCACCAATCTCTTCAGATTCATCCGTCTACTCGAGCCACGGCTTTGTCAAAGATCATGCGGAGTGCCCATCTTCTGCCGAATTTTGGTGCCGTTGTCCCACGAGAGTGGTCGAGTGATACAGTTCTAGATGGCTATAACACTTTTTGGTTGAACTCATATCTAGATAGATACACTTTCTGTATCTTCAAATAAGTCTTGATAATTCCATTATACATTATCGTCTTTTAGCCGTTTTATTCCTAATACTTGAAATTAGATCGAATTATCAGAATAACATCGTTTAGATCAATTTATTGAAAATTTTGCCTGGGAGGGTTTCCCTGATGTAGTGTTGATGTCAGAGTAGAGAGCCACTGTGACTGCATCACAGTGTGATAGTGCTAGGATAGACGACCATCACAGTTTACTCACACAGCGCAAGGCATATAAACCTACTGAGTATGTGATTCGATTCACCGAGTCACTTAGGTAACAAGTTCGTAATCGATCTAATCCATGATGCAGCAGCCTTCATGAGGCTAGGATATATGTACATGTAGTAACATATACTACAGTGCGCATGTCACAATCAGCGTGTTGTATTTAACCTTGAGGCCTTGAAGCTTGAGGGTGCGTGTACATCAAGTATTGGTATTGCAGAACTGCAAAGCAAGTGCAGGGTAGAGATCAAATGGACCGGCGCACATGTGACATTGTCTATTTAGGCTATGTACAGACTGGCAAAATTCGCTGAATCAAAATTCAACAAATCAATATTTGGTGTCATGTGACACACAAAGGGCGATCCCGGATTCCTTGCCTAGCACATTATTACAAGTCTATATGATGATGGCTAGATATACTCACAGAGATACATACTCTTTCAGAGCCAGAACTAGATCCACCACTATGTCTCTCACTAATACTTCTGTTGAATCTACTTGTTCCCGCCGATCCCAAGGATCTGTCAACATTTGAGGCTCAATGTTAGAAAGAACAAGGAAAATCCCTGCACATTGGACAATAGATGAAGAAAGGGCCCCGATTGATTACCTCTCCAGTAACAAATCTGGGGCTGGTGATGGTCTAAGCTTCAAAATGACCACTTTTCAAGGAGCCGCTGAACACATCAAGAAGACCTTCACCCATCAGCGTGGTGGAGAAAAGACCACTGATTCCTGCAAGATGAAGTGGGGCAATGTATGTTTAAACAGAATCTAATATTTTCTATTTATTTCTAATGTTATATATCTGTAGCTCAAGTCAGCTTATGGTGTTGTTGTCAACAAGATGTCAGAAATTCTTAATTTAGATTTCAACCCCTTGCAATGGGTTTCAATGCCCAAATGCAGGGCACATCTTTAAATATGTTGCTATAATAGAGTTAGCATTGTCATGATCATTTAAATGACGGTTGCAAGCTCGGTTGCCATAGCCTGCCAATCATAGATGAGTCATTACAATCAAGACTGTGACATTGTATCACAATTTTCATGAGAGTCGCAACTGTCATTGCAAAGTTGTTGCCACTCCATTCAATAGACAGTCAATGCATGGTAATAGAAATATTGTTTTTGCAAGACAGATTTCAATTTATTCAAACTGGTGCTAAACAGGATTCAGATATTCAAAATTAAATACTAAGGAGTCTGAATCTAACTAGTCCTGCTTGTCCTCGTCTGCGCCAAGTCTGATATGATCTTAATATCAAGACCATCATTAGTATTCTGCAAGACAAGCAATTAACAGAATAAAACATACTTGATGTACTGCCCAGACGCCCACAGCACTGTGCAGGTCTTTCTCCTTCAGCTCTTTCCGTCGTGAGACATGGCGCTCGAGAGGGAGATGAGACATAGGGAGACAAGGAGAAGAAGCTGGAGTTCATAGAAACCAAGCATGCCGGGCGGGCCCTCAAATGACGAAAGTTAGGCTTTGTGGGTCCACTGGATCCTGGAATGGACCTGGAGTGACGCAGATGTGACACCAGTGGGGAAGGTGGTGTTGCATTTGATGAGGGCGGTCATGTCACCACTGGCAGTCTCAATACCAAGCGATAGAGGAATGACATCAAGAAGTAAGAGGTCCTGGGTCTTCTTGGAGGTGTCGCCGAAAAGAATGGCAGCCTAAATGGCAGCACTGTATGCAATGGCCTCGCCAGGGTTGATGCTCTTGTTGGGTTCCTTGTCGTTGAAGAAGTCAGACACGAGTTTGACAATATGGGGGATATACATGGAACCACCAATAAGGACGATTTCATGAACATTAGCCTTGTCGATCTTAGGAGTCCCGGAGGACCTTCGACAGGCTCGAGCGTGCTGCGGAACAGGTCCACGCACAGCTCCTCGAAAAGGGCACGACTGAGGGGAGCAGTCAATCTCGATGGCAGTCTGGGTTGCTGACGAAAGGGTATGCTTGGCACGCTTGCAAGTGGTCTGTAGACGACGGAGAGCACGAGGGTTGGAAGAGAGATCTATTATGTTGTCAGCAGCTGAATTGATGAATAAAAAAATTACTTACCCTTCTTGTGCAAGGTGGTTGATGAACGTTGCAATGATATCATTGGATTCCGAGTCTGTTTAAGTGACAACAGGGTGCAAGAAAATCAATACCTTGTCAATGAAATTTAAACATTGTGTGATAGCGTTTCAATGAATCTAAAGTGGGAGAGCAGGTTGAAGTGAGATTGCGATCAAATTGAAGTGAGGAGCATCTGATGTTAATTTGGTTGTCATGAAAAGTCAATGATGGAGCAAAGGTTTTCAAGCGACATTGGAATAGTGGGAGAGAAAAGGAGAAATGTTTAACTGAATTTGGGTACTATTTAAATTGGAGGCCATGTCAGTATTTCAAAAATTTAAATGCGCCTGATCCCCTAGTACAATGTAAAATAGTGCTAAGAAGCAATAGAATGAGCCTAAGAGAAACATAATAAGTGCAGGAATGGAACACCGATTCGAAGGACGACAGGATAACATTGATGCAGAAACTATCTGCGAGACCGAGTTGTGCGAGAAACTGCAGCTTGCGGAGCTGCCTTCTTTCTGGACCCTCTAGTTTTTGTCCGCCCTCGTGTGCTGACACTATCTCCAACATTCTGTGTGCTTTCCTCGACAACTTGTGCACCAACATCAGCAACCGGTGCATCACATATTACAATATCAGATGATGCTTTAGGTTGGGAATGATTGAAGTCGGGCCTTGCACCAATAGCACTTGGACTTTGGGTGGCAGAAACAATGGAAGGTGGATTAGCAACCGAAAGAGCAGCAGATATTTGAGCCGAAGCATCAGATTCATGGTCCGATTCGCTGCTGTCCATATCCAGCGCCGCAAGTGCATGATTGATGGCACTCGCATGATCTTGTTCGGCTGATGGGTCAACAGAAGGTCCTTTCACAGCCTCGAAGACATAATTGTTGATGTTGGTGACGATCAAGGTGACACGCCTGGTGGTCCATTTCGAAACAAGAACCTTCTTGTAGTTGTAAAACAAGGTCTTGTAATTGATGTTTGACTTCTTCCCTAGGCCCAAGCTCGATTACTCAGTGTCTGGTGAGAGTAGAAATATCGCCTGTCGCAACAATACATGACAAATGACTGAGTCTCAAGGTGTAAATGACTGAAATGCTGACTTACAATAACTGCCGCCCATGCTATCGCTCCTGGCATGATCTGATGAACGCTCCATTTGAGAGCATTAGTATGCGTGCCGCCGCCACTTGACCTGTGGTGGAGCGAGGTAACACCACGCAACGAAGCTTTGAGAACCTAAGTAATCATATTACATTCAGTAAGATAAAGCATCATTACAATAGTGATAAGACTTACCCGGGCTAGTAGCTCCCAGTTCCCGAACACTGTCTTCAGCGATGTATCTTCCTTCAACTCTGGAAACAAGATTGGCAGGAAAGTCTTGTATGTCTGGTTTGCAGCAGATGAAACACCAAGTAACTGTTGGATTTCGGGAATGGTGGCTCTCTCGAAGCTGGTGCTGGTGAAATACTTTGAGGGAAGGTTGAAAATATCACCAGCAACGCCACAAAGTTTCTTGATTTCATTGGCGCAAGCATCAGGAATACATTTCAGTACCTAATATTGCTGCATTAGTGATTCAACATGATAACTCTAATAACAAGCTACATACCATATCGCTGAAATACAAGCTTTCCATTATCTTGTGCAACGATTCAGGAAAATGATGATAAAGCTCGTGTAAGAATGCAGAGTCCTGCATTGCCACAGTCTTGTATTGGTCGGGGCTATCGAATGGAGTGGGAGCTTCTGGGAGTTTCTTGTTGAGAAGGTCGCTTCTAGGAAACATCTCCATCATCATGCCATACTTACGGGCATAGATGGTGATAGTATCCTCATGAACGCTAAGTTCATGCTGTGTGTCCACGCGCCATTTTCGTTTCAGCTTCTCGGCACGCAAAGTCTTATTCTCCTCCTTGATGCTCTTGTTCTCGTCTTGAAGACACTGCATTTGAACCTGCAGTGTTTTAAGCACCTGAAACAAATCAAGTTAGAAAGTAGTGCTAACAGATGGATCATATATTACCTCTAGAAGCTCCCCTTTAGAAGCGCTGGGGGCCGGAATAGAGATATGAGTAGGATTGCTGCCCTGGCCATCAGAGTCACTGTCTGTGTCTGAGTGCGAGTGTGACTGCATGATGTGTGACATGTTTGCCAAACAGAAGGCTTTGGAGAAGAGTTTTGTTGAATGAGGGGGCGAGAATACACAATTAGTATCACTACAACACTTTAAATGATACTGCGCTATCACCTCGTGTTTGCTCAACATAATACTGCTTGTAGCAACTTTACATGTTCATAGATGTAACCGAAACCTTGTTATTATATCAAGACATATTGGTCAGTGATCCATCAGTTGTAAGCGTTGAAGTACCCACCACGAGTAATAAAACATGCATGAATGTACGCATATCAAGCACCGCCATCACAATGAAGGTATCGTCCCTAATCGACAACGAATCGTGTAGGATGGTACCAGACCTATCCGCATCATCCCTAGTATCACATAAATCAAATAGTTAGTAGCCAAGCAGCATAGATATCATAACAACACCTAGTAGCTATGTATCAATACAAATCAGACATGTCAAAGAGATGCTACTCACCAGTCAAATGCGCACCACATGCCCTGCCTGCAGATGCATTTCCTTCACACGAAGGAACATATCTGTGTCAACCATATCGACAACAAAGTAATTGAGGTTTTCGTCATGCACTAGAAGTGCCCCGCGGATGATAGACCTGGTGGAGAAAAACTCTGCCTGTGCCCGCGGTTTTGCTCGAACTCTAAGAAGGTTAAGGTGCTTGTCTTTTCGAAGTTGTACACCTATGGGAGCGTCATACGGGTGGACGAGAGCAAGTGGAAATACATTGTCTCCAACTGGGCACTCAAAAAGCAAGAGCAGGCGTCCAAGGATGACCTTTTGGTTGGTCTGGATGAACACGCAATCGAAACGTGGTGCATTAAAGAACTTTGGATTGCACTGAAGGTAATCGGTATATTGTCGCCAGTCCACCATTGACTCGTAGTTGACACGCAACAGTCGACATGTTGTGATCTGTCTCGTGTGATTAGTGCGGTAAGGGCTACTACTAAATTGAACAAACTTACTGTGTGAGTTGATAAGAGATGGATTCTCTTCCCATCTGGTAGGGGTATGTTGCTTGCAAATAGAAATACGTTTAAAAACGAGTTCAGCTTAACATGGAAGTTGGAAAATGCGATGTCATCCTTGTGGGAATTCTCAATGAGACCAAAGGTCTGCGGAGCTTCCCTCGACCCGAATTTCACATGCATAGACCCATCCAAAGGGCCAAAAACATGTCTAATGGGGTTCGTCAATACCTCGGAGTCAGGATCATCTTCATCGGCATCTTCGTCGATGTCATTTGCTTGGCGTTGTGATATTACGTATTCATCCAAGTCAAAGATTTGACAATGGATATCATCCGCAACGAGTAGCCAGTGGTCTATACGAAGAATCTGTAATTATGATGTCCCATGAGTAGATAAATGCGAAAGTTGCCTTGTATTACTCACCTGTTCTGTGATGTTCTTGAAGTTTGTCCGGTGCTGGTACCAATCCTTCAATGGCCCATGCATTTGCTCATTTGGCTTCGTATTATAGTTCCTTGTGACCCCTTTAGCCTCTATATCGTCAAATAGATGTGTGATCATGTGGAGTTTTGGAAAATTCCAATTTTTATCATCCTCCTCTGTTGCCGTGATATATTGCTACAATACTGTCAATTCATTTGCTAAAGTAGAGAGTTCTAAGATGTACTTTCATGAATGCCGTTAGGGCTTGAACGGCGCTTCTGCCCTCGCTGATGGTATTCGTTGTGTGAACCTCAAAGGCAGCGTACATGTCGACCTCGAGGTAAAGGCGTACACAGCGAACTAGAAGGTACCCAAGCAAAGAGGCTTCCTCTGTTAGGATGTTGTGCATAGCATATATTATCATCTGTAGTGAAATAATGTGTTAGCGAGATAGTTGCGCACAATAATAACTACGAACCTTTGATATATCTTCATGGACAGAGCTGTCTGCAAACGTAATACTCATTACTTGGTTCGGATGCTTCAAATTTCGCCATCGGGGAAATGCTGCAAAACTGATGACATAGTAGAAGAGGATGACATGTTAGATATTGACATAATCGAGGGAAAGAGATGCACTTCTTATCAACTTGGGCTACTTTTGCCCTTCCGAGGCTCGTCAAGTGCTTTTGCAGCTCGACCCAGTAATGACGGGACCAAAGACTGCCATGGTTGTAGTGACACCGGTCATGCGATAGCGCTCGATGTACATCTGAATATCGGATGGCCCAGAATGAATTCTAAAAATAAGTTAATCTAAGAGCGTCGCAAATAGTAGACACAAAACTCATAGTAACATTACGAAGTCCATGTTGTTTGAGAAGCTCGTTTTGTTCTTCATGGGTGTCCATTTCCTGTGCAGCCAGTACAATATCCCGCGATGTGTCGGCAATTCAGTGGGTATATTGTTTTGACGTATCCCAAAGCTCGTCTCGAGGAATGAGACAGATAGGACATGGCCAAAGGCTCATGACCCCTCGAGTAAGTGACATAACGCACCTGTAAATTATTGTTAGGAAAAACACAATGTAGAATGATAGTACTTGCTGTTCCTCATAATCAGCTGACAAAATAAGTAGACAAAGGAAGAACCACCGATCAATGCCATCTAGGCAGGGGTACCATTGTCCTGTCCTTGATTTCGATGCCAACGAAGAGGTGATTTTCGCGAATGACTCGTGCCAGACTGCATTTTCGAAGTTGACCCAGCTTGACTTTCCAGAATGCTCTTTATCTTCCGTCACCTAATACAATACAACCCCACCATCAGCACCGACAATGAGACAAACATTGGGACATACAATTGGCAGCCATCCTACAATGTAACCACTACCTACACCTCGTCCGTTCTGAATATCAGTAGGTAGATTTGCTAAGCGCGCGACAACTGGGTATCCTTTTGCAGTACCGAATGATGATAATCTTGTTTTATCGGCGTATAGGATGAAAGCTAGTGGCTTTGCATCCTGTGGTAGTTGCGACTACAAATGCACAATGTTTCACATACATACAACAAGGATTGAAACTACAGGATACATACTTGCACATTCCAAAAGTCTTCTGCGGTGAAAGGTTCATCTACAAAGCGGACGAAGGTTTGCCCATCAAACTTCGATAAGTGTTGTGTGTCAAACTGGAAGTGAGGGAAGAGGTTAGGGTCTCGAAGTAGGTCAGTAGCGAGATCCAAAGATCACTGTAGTATACATTGAATTCCTGCATCTTGCTGTCGTAGGGGACCGAGATCACATCTTTCATGAACTGCGCTTTGAGAAAGGTCAAATTCGGAGTCCATACAGCAAAAAATGAATGGAATCACCTTTGTGATCCGATGGGACGCTGCTTCCCACTTGCCGTGAATGTCTTTATGGTTCTTCAGCATAAAACTATCCTTTCTGAGAGAACATTGATGGCAAATGTTGATGAGACAGTCCGTTTGTTCGTTGTTCAATCGGACCTCAAGAGCAAGCTCGGCTACTTCAAATTCAAGTCGAGATTGAAATGGGCGCCAAGGGTGGTTATTGGGAGTGGTGTAAGCCGAAGATGTTGCAGGACGACGATGAAAATTGTTGAAGGGATAGATTTGCGCCTTGATGCCACTATTTGGGTGATGCTTGACCTTGATGTCATCAAGTGAATAGGTGGGTGGTGCTGAAGCGTCCATAGGTTCAGGCTCAAAATGGTCTGAAAAATTGATACCATTATTGATCATAGTTACAGTAATAGCGATCCAGAAATTGATTATCAATGAGATATGTACTAATAGACTCACCAGTCAAGCTGAAGTCCACATCAAAGTCATGTGCAATATCATGCTGGTAATCTCTCGCCTCGACTAGGGACAGATGAGTCAAAAAGACAAACATTGAAATGATAGAAAACATACTTGGTGTGTGAGCGCGACTAGGTTGAGCCGTCCATTGTCCATCAAGCACAGATTCGTTCAGTGCTGGAATACTAATCATTAGCTTTGAAATTGGGCATACAATCAAACACACCTTTTTCCTGCCGAATTGCATCTACAATGGCCTGATCACGGTGCCGCTTGTCTGCATTTGTCTCACAAGCTTTCCGATGAGTAGTCCAACCTCGTGGCTTGATGTCCTGACCCCATAAGTCACAGAACCTTGTGTGGTTGGGGGCCATTCTTGATGATAGAACTAACACAGAATTATATACAGAGACCTGAAGGACGGAGAAACTGGAAAAGATCACTGCTGGCGCTGATGGAATGATAATGGGAAGGGCACATCCGTGATGTAATTTGAAACTCAGTCATAAGTATTATCTTACTATTTCAATGCGTAATCAGCATTGCCTTGTCATTTCAGGCAACATTTCAATGACATCTAAATAGGGACTCATTGCAACCGTTTTCGCAAATTTCTGACAGAAGACATCCAGCTTTTCATGGAGTGATGAACACGGTGCTGGAATTACAGATGAACATGGAGATACTTGAGACAGATATGCCAAGGTATGTAGTACTACCATATCAAACAAATAGTCTGCTGATTTTCTTTAACCTTAGGGCCATCCTAGTACAGTGCCATACAAGACCAAAGGGTTCCCATACTTCAGCGCTCTTGACCAGATGATTCCCCAGGAGCTGATCTATGCCAAGGGAAAGTACACTACCCGTCAGCCAAAGGCCAGGACTCAGGCTGTTGCCGGTCCTTCCCCATCAGAGTCGTCCTCTGCTGCAATGGGGTCTCCTAGTGGGTACTGGCCTATACCTCCCCAACCATCCACTCCCACTGCCACATCTGGAATGGAGCCTGTGCACCGGCATGCCCTTCCCCCACCATCTACTCCTACTGGCTCCACCACCAATAAGATCACCATGGGTCCTCTACCAGCACTGGTGACAGGACCAGGTGTCAACCTCTTGTCACCATCCTCCTCCTCAACTGTACCATCGTACTATGCTGCTACAAGTGACTCAGGCTCAGGGCTGACCAGTATCAGCCAGAGCAAGCACAAATCCAGTGCACTCAGTGAAGGAGACCAATCCTGCTCTAAGCGAAACTGGCCTCGCTCAGTAACTGCAACAGCCCAGCAGGAGGGTAGCGCAGCACTTACATCAATTGCAGGGAGTCTTCCTCAAATCATTTGAGGGTTGACCATTTCTCCATCTGACCGTCCTCCTGCCACTGACCTTGGGCATGTGGTCAGTCTGCTTACTCAGACAGATGGTTTGACTGTGGATGATGTCATGATCCTCATGGACTACTTATCATCAAACTTGAATGAGGCGGTAGTATTTTCCAATATTAGTAGTGCAGAATACAGGGTCTTATGGGTGCAAAGGAAGCTCCCTAGCCTTCATGCAAACAATTAGTAGAATAGTAGTGTTTACTTTTACTTTTCAAGACTTATGTTGCTCGCTCTTTGTTTGTATCCCACCTAAACATGCGCTGATGAATCAAGAACCCATGTATTATCCTACTCAATTGTCCCCTTGAGTACAAGAAGGGTGAGAGCCAGACCAACATGAAATTTAGGTATATCTGGTAGGTATGTAACTACATTGGTGCGGGTACTGCTAGTCCACAATGTGCCCATTCTCATACATAATCTGCCCACATTGCAGCAGCTATCTCATCACGATAATCATCAGCTCTTCTCTCTGCGGCACCTGCAGGTCCATCAGACAGCTCCCCCTGCCCTGCTACATCACCCATGTCATCATCAGTAAGTATGGGATCGTGATCCTCACCACGCAAGAAATCCTGCTTGAGGATATCAGGGTCGCAGTGGTGGATGAAGTTGTGCAACGCGCAGAGTGCCATTGGTAGCAGCACTTGGATATCCATGGCATATTCAGGAGGGAGTTGCAAGATGCGCCATTGGCGCTTCATTACCCCAAAAATGTGTTCGACAATGTTGCGAAGTGAGGCATGTCGAAGGTTGAAGAGTTCCTTTGCATTTTGTGGGCTTGGATGTGCATCAGATGTAATTACAAATGAAGAAAAAAAATGAACATAAGAGATGCCTGATGCCACTCTTTGAGATGATAATGCACACCTCTGTAAGGAACCAGTGGCGCATCACATGTTCCAAATCCTGCATCTGCGAGGAGATATCTTCCATCAGGCATCCATAAGTCATGTTGGCAGGCATCGTTCCAAAGCGCAGCATCGGCAGATGAGCCGTCACAGCCACAAAGTGAGTAAATAAATGAGAAGTCGAAATCGCATACAAAAAGACAATTTTGAGAAATGAAACCTTTTTGATTATGCATGAAGGCTTGATCAGGAAGTGACATGAATGCTCGGATGTGCATTCCATCAATAGCACCGATGCATTTGTTGAAAAATAGAAAGTGAGGGTCATCACGAATCGACAAAGAGATTGGGGAAAGGCTTGTTGGGAATTGAATTTGAGTGGAGTAGAAAGGGTCGCTCGAGAAGAACACTAGTATGCGCTTGAAGTACCTGATAATGGCATGAATTAGCATATATTATTGAATAAGTAGTTTACTTACCTTGAGATCATGTCAGAGGACTGTTGGAAGTGCTCACCAACATGGCGAGTTGAGAGACCGGTGACACACATATACAAGAAAATGGCCAGCTGTTCCTCAACCATTACACCATTGCGAGATAGTGTAAATCCATTGGTCTGTAGAATTTCCAGCAGCTCTTCAAATGTTCCCAAGCTGACACCTAGATTGTTTCTGATTCAGTCAGGGTGACCAGCCATCAGTTCAAGGACCCAAGCTTGACTGGTCAAGGCTGAAGTGTGGTATGGGATGCTAGTGCGTGGAGTTAGGAATAATTGGTAGTATAAGGCTGAGATATGAGCAATAATTGAAGTCAGAAGTATGAAGTAGTGACACCGATAGAGATCTTGGTTGTTTTGCGTCCGCAAAGCCTGTGTTTGTCGTGTGATGGCATCCATGGTATAGTCTACTGTATCACCGTGTGGTGTAAGAAGGAATCTGGGATCACCCTTTGTGTGTCACATGACACCAAATATTGATTTGTTGAATTTTGATTTGGCGAATTTTGCCAGTCCATACATAGCCTTATTTATATGTTGAATTATGACACTATTCAAGACATTACTGTGATAAGTAGCTCTAGCACTGCTCATCTAACTTATATTCCTATAAGAGTCCATCACAAAGTTGTGACATGGCACCATCACAACACATGAGGTATGGTAGCACATTCCTCTCAACATCGTTTACTGCTTTCTTTTTTCTTCTAAATTAAAATGTTATCTGAGGTCATCCATGACCTTCTCACAGGAAGTGGCTTTGGTGTTGCCCCACTAGTGTACAATGCTATTAAAGTTCACCACAAAGTCATGAAACGGCACCATCACAACACACAAGGTATGGCAGCGCATTCTTCTCAACATTGCTAACTATTCTCATTCTCCCTCGGTTTAGTATGCTTTTCTCCTGGTAAATATGGCTATATATGATACTGTGATAAATCTAAGTTGTCATATGTTTTCTGAGTGTGCTTATTCTCAATGAAAGCAGTTTCCAGAATTCTCTCAAGGTCAATGTACATGATATTGACTGCTGCAACAGAAGCCTCAAGTACAGGGTAAGTTAGACTTCATGACTCGAACTACCAGAGGACTCTTCCTTTTCCATCTACTTATGTGGTGTAGGACTGGAAGTCCTTGTAGCCTCGTAGAGGCTATTTTTGCAGTATCCCTCAGCATCCTATTGCTTTACTATATGAAGCGCAGCTTTCCCGCAACCCGTGCACATTGGCTGCTACTTTCATGCGACAGCCACAGTGTTCCCACGTGCACACACAGCCACACTTAGCCGCACTTTCTTGCGCTTCATCGGCCGATGTTTCACACCATCTGTCCATGTCTAACCAACCCAACGGTACATTATTCTATGATTATATTTACATATCAGATCATTTCCACATTGCACCACCTTTATTTAACATATAGCTTTACATACCTTACTCAGTAGCACATTGGCTTGGTTCCACATGACAGCGCTTAGTATCATACTTAAGTGGTAGTAGTACATATCTTTCAGGAGCTTGTTTCCCAGACGTTGGAGTAGCAACTTCCATTAGCCTACAGTTGGTGGCTATTGACAATCTGTATCCATTTACCACCCGCACCGTGTCCGTTACCGCTCCACTTGACATCTATTTCTACATATTATCTATCATCTCTATTATCATCCGAATCACCCGCTTTGCAGCCACATTTTCCCATGCCTTTGGCTATCAGCCGCCGCTTCATTCCCACATGTGCACCCGCTGCTTTCCTGCACTTCGCATCGGCCGCTAAGCAGCACCTTCAGTGCTCATTTCTAGACCTTTGCTGCACTAGCTTCCCCTTTAGGGTCGAACACACTTGTTCCGCAAGTATAGCAGACTAGGTGTTGGATGACCTACAACATAAAGATATCAGTTTGGAGCCTATAGCACCACACTGAGTTGTAAACCTACAGTGGTACCTTTAGAGGCTTGTCGATGATTCAGTATTCTCAGTGAGGTCGCTTAACTTTTGCCACAGACTTGCCAACATTAGGGTGTGACATGGATGCATTGTAGGGAATAGTACATTACAACTTACAGACATACTAGGTAGTACTCACCATTATCAATCAGAAGTCAATTTCAATCGCATCAGCTTGGCTGACAAAAGCTCCTTGTACTCTGAACTTGTTTTGAAAGAGTTTATCTGTGGTGCTCGGTTGCACAGAATCCCTGTAGAGGTGTCGAGCAGATGAAGGGGGGAATTGCTGAGGTCAATCCAAACCACTCTTTGAATAGCATCTTCTGCTTCTGATGGACAGACGTACTGCTGACGCAGATCTGCAGAATGATATAGACATTTTGAGACAAGGCAGGAGTGTTCCATGGCTTACCTCGTATATGAGCTTCAGGAGCAATTGTCCAACTTGGTCAACATGATTGTGAAGGCCTTGATGGCTTCTTCATAACATAATGTTGTGCACCATGCAGTGCTGAGTGTGATAACTGGTACCCAACATGAGACAAAGGATTGAGTTTGGTGACCTATGCATGGCCGAAGTCAACATGAGCTAGGAAAATGTGGATGTCATCGCACCTTTCGGGTGTCAAGGAGCGCATTCTCCCACAGCATTTTACTTGACTTTGCCTCGCTGCAACTTGCAAAGAATATATTGGATGCAGAATCCAGGTCGATCACCATTGAGTATAGGTCAATAGCCTTGTCGTGATCACTTGCAGTGAAGGAGGTGTCTCTGTTGGCAGCGCACAGTGTGCTGCATTGCTGTTTGAAATCTGAGAGGAATACAGGTGAGAATTGTAGCCTGCAGTACATTACTGGCTCTAGACTTGCCATTAGACCAATAAGACAGTCAGCTTTGGTGATTCACTTGAAGTCATCATGTGTTGGTATGATTTAACGGCATCTTGGAGTTTACCTGCCCGAAGGAGTGCATCTCTGCATTGAAGAGTGACCCTCTTGTATTCTCCAACGTGTTGCTGCACTACCAAAAGTGCGCTGAAAGCCTGCCCAAGGTGAACCATCAAACACAATGATTGTAAGTGAACATCTGAGTCAATCGACAACTCCTCTTCTCCAGGTGAGTTGCTGAATGACTTGTCAGTGTTGTCTAATCCAGACTGGGACTCAGACCAATCCTCTATGATCTCTCCTTCATTTGCAAAGGCGAGCTGCTCTGAAAAATCAGGCAGCCCAAGGAGATGATGGTCCCACAGACGGACAAGAAAGAAAGTCTGCTGAATGGGCCTTGCACGCGAGAATTGAATTAGGGTCTCATCCGTGATGATTAGCAAGTCTCGAAGGCCTACCACTTGAATGCTGTCCCCAATATTTACGCCCCAATTGGGTTGGGTTCCTGCATGGATAAGTTGAAGGTGTATGATCTTCTTCCGAATTTCGCGAATTTGGCTCGTCTGAGCATAAGTGGTCTTGCAGACCTGGTTTGGGTGACACTTGGTGAAAACAATAGCAAAGAGGCAGATGAGGTAGCCATCAGTCATCCTCATGTTGATGTGTGCCTCAATGAGGGTTGTTACTTGTGGACAAGGGAGCATAGCTTGTCCGAAGAGTGAGTTTGTCTCTTTGTTTGTTCATTGCATAACTGGATTTGGCACAGTTCCTATCAGGGCTACAGAACATGATCAATTCACTCAATTTATACTACAAAGTTCATGTGTTGCTGCACAAGCCTGCCTTGAGTCTGGGTTGGCAAAGTTCAAGATGAGTAAATTCCAAATTTGAGTCTTGCTAGCTATCTCCACCATCCGCTGAGTCGCTGCTGTGATGACTCTGATGAACACAGCCTCTGCCACCGAGCACAACCGCAGTGACTGTCATGGTAGTGACTTGCTAACCAATTTTGAACACCTCAGTGAATCGCCAGTGGGTGTGTCATTGGACGCCCTCAAGGTTGATCGGTTCTTCAACTTTGGATCAAGCTGTAGTACTCATCCTGGGGCCATTTGTCACAATCCTCATCATCAGCTCCCATGGATTATTGGTTCCAGTGGGCAGTGACCCCCCCAAACCATGATGATGGGACTCGGACATGATCATCCTTACCGTGACCATCATCACAGAGGATATCAACATCACTTGTTGTTCCCGCCACCACCTGTCATGCCAATGGGTCAGCTGTCATCAGCTAATCATCATCAGCTCCTGCATCCTCAATCCCTGAGTCTCCAAGTCATCCCAACTTCCTTTAGCGCTGTATGGCCCAAAGAGTGGCCATTGCAAGATCAGCACTTCGCCCCCAGCTTCAATGATAACCCCATGCCAAACTTGAATGAGCCATCGCCATGGCCCGCTCTGATGGTGCCCGAGCTCACCCAGCCCATGATTCCGAATAAAACTCCCATGGCTCCCAAGCAGGAATGATCCAATGTCACTAAAGTTAAATCACGTACATCCCGCCAGTGCCTCATGAAGGCCAAAATTACCATTGACTCAGACAAAGATGAGAAACCTGTTCAGGATTATACATTTATACCTTCAAACACTGGCGATGTTACATCAGCTCTTTGAGAGCAGATGAGATTTACCATTTTCAACGAATCACTGTTACCTACAACAGCAGAAATCGCTTCTATGGTGAAAAGGTCTTGGGAAACTGCAATCAACAATCAGTCAGGTACACCCTCCTAAACATCCGATTCAATGATACCACTGATTGATTGAAAAGCGGAACTTCGTGACTGGGCCCAAGACTTTTGTCATTCCCAGGAAAAGGGCCTCACAAACATAGTTGATTCCATCCGAAGTGACATGAAGGACATTGCAAGATTATTTGTGTTTTTTAGATTCGACCTACAAACCTATCAGGTGGCTGTCACGCATCTTATCAACTGTGGGGATCAAGTATTGCACTTAACAGCAGATGATTCTATATTTCTTGATGTCATGCTCATGGTAAGTCATGTGTTCAATCTCTCGAGATCAATGATCTTATTCCAAGGCTGTTAGATCAGTGGGCGCACAATTGTCATTCCCTTTGGCAACCCAGCTGTCATGGCATACATCGGATATCTGCTGTATGACAGCAGGTACCAGTATCATCACTACATTAGTGGTCACCCGGCTCCATCACCTCAGGCTGGCCTGCCAGATGTATCCATGCTCAGTGTCGAGAAGTTGTGACCACTATTCACAATGACAGCTATTCTCTTTCGCTGGGCCTTAGAAGAGCGGAGAACAGGTGCAGTGATCGACACCAAATTGTGGGTTAAGAACAATCAGGATTACCACACGACACTCATTGACAGGTTCAATAATATGACTCCAGAGCAAAAGAATGGATTGCAAAATCTAGTTGATCAGATTGCTACTTGCCCTTTGAACTAGTCGAAATATATACTGTGTTTGCGTGTATTACTAGTTGCATCACCTGTGCCTGTAGCCCCAGTAAAAATATATTGCGTAGACACACATCAGTATCTGAAGCCCAGTGAAAGTTGGACATACGGGTTTCCACCTGCAGCAACACAGATATACTGTGGCTGTGACACTTCTTATTGTGTAGATAACATGTCGGTATCTGTGCTTTCCGTAGCTGCAAAAACAATGTGCATCAATGCTGGTGTATGCTTTTCAATGCATTGACTACTGGATAGAATTCTGTAAATTTGAATATAACTGTGTATCCCTTTGATATTTTGCTGGCTTTGACGCAAATATATGGAAATCAATGCATTGCAACATGACATACAATGCAAAACATGGGAATAAAATCTACCCGCTGAAGGTACAACAATTCAGATGGTGAGTCTGAACAATGTTGGGTCTTGCAGAACCTAGCTGCTATTCGACCCTAAAGGGTTTCTGGACTAGGCTTAAGGCTCAGAGTAGAGGAAATATCATAAAAACTTGCTGATCTCTCAGACTCATAGTAAACTGGTGAAAAGGTAACTTCCTTATGTAAGCTACAAAAGTGCCAACATAAGGTAAGGTAAAAACAGTCTCTACCAGCCCAGCCAGAAATGAATCCCTACACCACACTCATTCGTGCCAGCTCCTCCCTCTAGGATTGTCCTACCCCAGTGCCCAGCTAATGAAATGTGCCGCTAGAGAACTTTGCAGGGACTTTGACCATATTTGTGGACAACATGCAGTCAGTAACATAGATGAAATACACAAATGAGCATACATTAATAGGAATAGGATCAGTACTTACCAGATTTGAAGCTTCAATGTCATAGTTCTGTAACAATAAGAATAGAGCACGATGAAATGAATGAAAATGATACCGCTTGACAGCATTTGTGGTATTTATTGGTGCCAAAACCATAACAAGCAGAAGTCCTCTTGATCCAAAACCTAGGCTGACAACAGATCAGTGAATCAGAGTAGCAGTACTGAAAACAAATGTACTGGTGTGGCGTGAGACATGTCAGGTACTAGAAGATTGAGTTGAATGACTTGGAGTGGTTATATGCGCCCTGTTTCGAACATTTTCATCTAGTATTGACATGACCAAGGCAAAAAAAACTCACATCATTTGAGTCGTCGTGATGAGGAAGAAAGGGATGAGAGAATTCAAGGTAGGCGGGCGACGAGTAAGTCAGTCGACAATAGTAATAATGCACTGATGATGGTGAGAGGAGAGTTCATTAAAACTCTGAGTCGGAGGCAAGTGGACTTTTGAAATATTGAAGTTGGTTCGAGTGTGGCGAAGTACGAAATACTTGAGGAATTTCAGTGTCATGTCTACATAATGGTAAGGTCCAAAAAACATACTGCTTTTGGAGTGTAATGCATGTTGCAAAGTGCATCTAGCTTGCTGCATATACTATCCCAGAGTTTTGTAATTTTGTCGTGCTCCTTCTTGAGCTGACCATCTCTGTTGTCACCTCCTGTACTGCTGTTCTGTGCGATGACGTACTCATCCTCGTAGATTTGAGCAAGTGACTGGGAAAATTTGGTGTCCTGGAGCTCAAAGAATTGTGATGGAAGGAAAGGTTTATCATCGATAGTGTGAATCCGCACGACATTGTCGAATCGGCCATCCTTTATGCGAGCTTTTATTTGCTCTTCCAGACCTTGAACCACAGTTTTAGTGATGACGGGCACCACTTTCATTGTTCATTCAAACTCTTAATCTTCTTGCAGCAAAGAATCTTGAGGTCGAGATCTCAACGTGGCCTCCCCCATCAATACCCAGTCCTTCTTAGCAACATTCTCCGCCTCGAGCTCCTTGATCTGTAACTGCAGTGCTGCCATACATTTTTCATAAGTAGTCATATCTGCAGCCAGGTTGTGAATAAATGATACCAACAAGAATATGACTGGCCTTACTGGAATCTGGTTCATCTTCCTCCACAAATAAGTCATCCTTCAGTCTTTCAATGGTAGCATGACCTTCATCGTCTTCATCTTCATCTTCGTCTCCGTCTCCATCTCACATAATTCAGTACAATATTTTCTGTGTTACACGGTGTAGGAATACAACACAGAGTGGGGCTATACAAAGATGGCTCCAAACTGATATCTTTATGTTGTAGTCTGCTATACTTGGTGAGACAAGTGCGTTCGACCCAGGGGTCTGTGGTCTGGGAATAGTTTTAGGGGTCAGTGAGTGATGTGGGTTCAATAGTCCAAGCGCAGGAAACAATGTTTGAAGGTATAATTACGATGTCTGATGCAAAAGTGTCGGGTCTGATGTTTTTGGGTTTTGGGTTTCAGGTTCGTCAGGTTCAGGTTTGGGTTATCGGAAATTAATAGTGACACAATAGTGAGTGTTGGAAAAGCAAGCGGTGTGTGCAATAATAACGATGAAGGATGCGGACGGTGAAGGAACAATGATATTCGCAATATCAACTAAGAACTACGAAATATCGGGTTTGACCCCTAAGCATCAGAGAACAATTCTCCTCTACTCGGATGATGATGATGCTATGGGGAGTCCAATATTTATGTAGATACATAGAAATCCGGAACCCTATAGGCGAAAGTAGTAGTACAATATTTCGGATCCGATGTCCTATGTAATAAGACATGATGTACTGTGGACTATGGGAATACATGTAATAATGCGGTCCGAAATGTTAGGGATGTGAAAACTAGTAACTATGCACCTAGTGAGGCTAGCAGAATGAGACTGGACATAGGTAGGACGAGTCCGCGCAATATCCGATAGTCCAATGTGAAACCCAATGCAATGTCCAATGTCCGATATGAAACCCAATGAGAAACCCAATGCAATGTCCAATAATCTGATGTCTGATGTCCGATGATTTTTGGGTTTGGTACATATCGAGTCAGATACGATAGGACTGATTTGGGTAATGTTAGCATGTCTACATGTATTGGAAAATAGACCTCTACAAGGCCACAGAGATGTCAGTCTCTACAACGGACACCTGAAGTTGAGATTCTTCCGAGTGAGATGGGCTATCTGAATGGGCCCAGATCCAACTGTGGGCTGAAAAACACTGGTGGGCCCATGATGTTTGTGATGCCTTGGCATTGACAGCTGGGCCCATGGGTGACAACTAACAATGGAATTATC